TGAGGCGGTGTGAGAGAAAAGTTGAATGAAGAAAGTGGAATTTATCGTGTCAGGGGACGTCCTGGGAATGTATCGCATTGATTTAATCTTTGCACCGTTCAGTGTCATTAAGTCATACAGCCAATGAAACATTTAGCTTTCTTATCCTTTCTGAGACACACCTTATCTCAAATAAACACTTCTTACCTTTGAGCATACATTCGCAGTGAGATAGGGCGGATTGAGTTACCGCCGCCCCAACCCCCCCACATCCCGGACTCTTAATCCTGCAGGTAGAGCCGGCTCTGCTCCACAGGAACAAAGGGCGGCTGTTCGCCCAGAGGTCCTCTGCTCTGTCGGGGCACCAGGCATCGTCCCCCCAGGAACTGGGCAGGGCCGATGACAGTCTGTATTTGGATACATGCTGAGAGGCCCTTCATTGGGTCTGACCACTGTGAAGGTAGAGCTTTGTGTACTGCAAGAACACACTCTTTATCCTGCCAAATATAATGCCATCCCCATTGAAATATATACAGCAGCTATGTATACATTAGGGAAGGAACAACTCTCCTTTTCATTGGCTGCTGCTGTGAGGAGGCTCGTAATATAGTTGAATGACCGTGGTAGAGATATCAGTACTTAACATTGATTTTTATCAGCTGGATGTATATTGTGTATCAATCAAGTGGATGCTTTCCCAGCTGTTGTGAAAAAGTATTAATCTATACAGTCTATGGTATTAATATGTCTTTAGGAACTTCTGAATCATGTTTGGAGAGGCTCTCCTGTTCTGAGATCTGTCTTACACTCTTTAGTCTGACTAAAGCTCCTCCTCTCATCTTAACCTGAAAGTTATCTCAGTGTGATCTGTACTAGAACAATTATGAATTCGATTTGACTTTATTTTATTTAGCAGTGGTTGCACACAACAAATGTATCTAAATCAATATATGGATATTAAAGAGGCCCTTTTATGTTTTTTAGGGTTTTCCCTTCCTTGTAATGTGTTATATATAATAATAATAATAGGTTTGTGTGCATGTAAATGGACTGCAGAGGCTAAAATCCCAAATGTCCACTCCTTTGTTTATTCTGTAACATAATGACATCACTATGTAAGCCTCACGCTTCTATTGGCCAGTGCTCCAACACATTGTACGTGATATATGTAAGCAGTGGACCAATCACAACAGAGCCGGCCAGCTAACCAATCAGAGCAGACTGGGCTCTGGTTTCAGACAGAGGGTGAAAAGAGGTGCTGCAGCACAGACAGTATGAGACAAAGAAAGAGCTTTTTGAACATTAAAGCATGGAGACATGTCGCAGTAGAGAAACTTAATACTCATATCAACCTGAAAATGAGCAGAATATGTCCTCTCTTAATTGCCCGTACTTATTATTTGTAAGTAAATCTAAATGTAATATTTCACTCAACTTTACTTTTTAATTAATTCAAATCATGTTCATTATACGAAAAGAGATTATGCAACCATGTCCTTTTTTTGTACATTCAGATCAATTTAATGGTTCAATATCTGCATACTTAAATTACATTTTATTAAACATTATTAGCCATTTTTTTGTATTTTAACTTTTAATATATATCAAAATAAAGGAAAAAAAATAGTTTAAAAAAAAATGAACACAGCAGATTTACGAAGTAATGTATGGCATGTAACGGGATTATATAATAAGCATACAAAAAGGTAACTATTATCCCTTACAGTTACATTTAAAAAAGATGCAATCTGATAACTGTTGCATTTAAAAAAAGATCACATTACAGCACTATCAGGATTACAATGTTACCAACACCTAAAAAGATCATATAGTGTTTGTTGTAAAGGATCAGGTGTTCTCTCTTCTCTGTGAGCTGTACTGTTCTGTAGGCTAATACTTTAAGTGTGAATCTATACGCCTACTGCCTGAATCTGCTTTATGGTTTTCACTTTCTTTGCTTCATTTGTTCTGTTTTTAATTCAGCAGGTGAACCTATATGTTCATAAAATAGTGTGTGTGAGCTTAACTGTGTGTATTAAACTAAACGTCAGAGCCATTTTAATTACAGAGCACCATCCACACCCAAGGCAAAGAAAGATATTATACATGAAGAACAGGAGACGGTAAGAAGGAAGCCATTCTTTAAAGACACGCATGAGAACCTATCAGTCATCTGCAATAGCAGTAATGAGCCAGTGTTGAATGTCAGATTGGACGACGTCCTGTTGAATACCTGCTGCCGGACAGTCCAGAGCAGTCAGTCGCTTTCCTTAGCTGCTCCGGGCGTTTGGCCAATGATTTCCTCTTTGCATAATAAACAATGTTTGAACAGTGGGTCTAATGTAATTACCTCCAGCAGGAAAGGTTGTTCTTAATGTCTTGTATTTTTAAAGCCAAGGAACGCTACAAAACAAATCACAAATGAAATGAGAATGTGCATGGGGTACGGAGGGGCTAGCCAAAAGTTCTGCTGAAACTGAATCATAAATTCACAGACTTGGAAGATGACTCAGCAACTCTTTGGGAAAGAGGTCTTAATGAGCCAGGGGGAAAACAGCTTGGATCCGGTCCAAAATACCAGAGCACAGAGAAAGAATGATGCTTATTGTTCATTGTATACCTGCAGATAGACACGCACGTTAGAGGAGGGGAGGGGGGTTTCTTATTCAGATTTCACCTGGCCTCTACAACCCCTGTACTCCGTAGAGCAGCCATGAATTGAGTTTATTGTGAGGAGCAGGCGGGAGGAGGGCAGACGGGGGGGCACTGCAGTGAAACATTTACAACTTCTGCGAACACGTCCATGCTAATGAAGCAAAGAGAAGATCCACTGTGGTCCATCTGCAGGGCTTCAGTGGTGACACTTCCATTAGTGAAGAGAAGAGGGGATGTCACAAACTAGTCCATTATCCATGAGCAGTTCTTCTCATAAGATAACTGGAGCGTTTGATCATCACACACAATGGTGCTCAGCTCAGCAGAGGGACTTTGCCCTTATATGGAGTTCAAGATTGATTTTATATCTTAAGGGCTTCTCATCCATGAACAGTAGAAAAGCTGTTTCCTAAAGAGGAAACGCTTTGCGGATGAGTTAAAAGATAAAGGTACTTCCAACTTGGCAGCATATTTTTATTATACCCTCACTGCCGGTAAATTTAACTCCCACGTCTCTGAGCACATGTTTTTTCATGTTTCCACACACACTCCGACTCCACAGACTCTCTGTTTATTCTTTAGGTGTGCCACCATGATGAGTGTTTCTTTGGGGAAATTGAAAAGGTTCCTCCAGTTACATTGTGCTCCTGGTGTGTACAAATCCCTGTGGCAACATTTGCAGGGCTCCTGGAGGGGATACTGCAGTCTGAGCCTGAGCGAGGCGTTGTGTCATCACATCAGGCTGCCTAACATTGGTGCTTGGTTAACTAGTTAATGGTAAACAAACCCAGAAGAGATTGGGTTATCCTGTTGTAACAGATCAATTAAAGCAAGTGGCGGTTCGAGACCAATTTTACTTGGGGGGGGCGGGGGGACAGTTATTTTGAGAGAGGGGCACATTTAATGCGCTTTAACATTTTTACATTTTAAATTCAGTATAAAGTCATATACCACATCACATAAAACACAATTATTGGTGTTTGTTTAGTAACATACTTTTAGCAAATGTCTAAGATACCATTTTATTTCATTATATAATATATATATTATATTAAATCTGTTAGCTCCACAACAGTCTTTGCGGTAACACTATCAGAAATTGTATTATGATAATTTTGATAATGGGGCCATGGGGGTCCAAGTTCAGTGTAACAGGGGCACTGGCCTTGTACTTGTACGTTACAACTTTACTTGAATATTTTCTACTTTTACTTTTACTCCACTACATTTATTTTACAGCTTTAGTTACTAGTGACTTTTAATATATGGTGCTTAAAGGAGCCATTCTGCATAACGCCTACTTTTACTTTTGGTTCTTAAAATATATTTTTTGATGCAAATACTTTTGTACTTTTACCTAAGTACACTTTTAAATGCACTTATTTTACTTATAACTCAGTGCTTTTGCACTGTAGTATTGCTACTTTTACTTAAAGGTGGGGTAGGTAATTTTGGAGAAACCGGCTCGAGTGCGCTAGAATTTGAAAATACACAGCCGGAGAAAATCTGCCACTTCCTTACAGAGCCCCTCCTCCAACACACACGAACGCGCACATGACCAATGAGGGCACGAGATAAGTTTGTGCACAGATGGAAGGCTGACAGGCAGGTAGGCCATCCAGTTATTTTAGCCAGGCCGGCTAAAATGATTGGTCGTGCTTTTTACAGTACTACGGCTTCCACAGATGACATTTTTTTATGGATTTTTTGTCAAAGCACTTAAGATATTTATTGCTATCGGGATGTTAAGAGCATTCCATGGAACATAACAAAAAGTGTATCTCGAGCCGGTTTCTCAAACTTACCTACCCCACCTTTAAGTAAATAAACTGATGAATTCTTCTAGCCTGCTTGTGAATGCTGGCCAGGTGGGATGGGGGGGGTTATTTGGAGGCATCCCTGCTGTATTCTGACAGACAGAATGATCACACTAATTTCATCCACTTTATATCAGTCTTGTTAAGTCATCAGTATTTGGAGCCAAGTCTGCAGGCAGCCAGAGAGAGAATTAAAAGAGCACTTACTGTGGAGACGCTGGGGAACGACTGCAGGGCCAGAACTTCTTATACAGGCATGCGAGCCTGTTGAAGCATTGTAAACAACAAACACATGGCATCGTGTGCATCCTTAAGCCTGACAACGCACTGAACACAGAGCCATTTTAAAATCAATGTATATGCAAGGTGGACACAATAACAGAAACACCTGTCTGTTTCTGACTCATCCAGACAATCAAATACCTGTACCATAGTTCACTAAATGAATGCAAACATATTGGAGAGCAGTGTCTGACAGTCTTTAAAACATTGAATTATTGTAAACAAAAAGCCGGAGCCTTTTCAATGAGCTTCATGCCAAACCACCCATAAGAAGCATCATACTTTTATTCAGCAATAAATACATCAGCAGAAATCTCAACCATCGAAACTCAACCTCAATTTCTGTTTTCACGACAAAAAAACCTGAAAAACAAACTTGTGTGGAGCATTGAATGAACAGAACACACGAGGAAAACCGTCTTTGGTATTTCTAACCTCAATGTAAGAGTAGTCTGTGGAACCCACATGGACACTGTACTGGGATCTGATATCAAGTGGCACTTGTTTTTAGGATGGCATTTCCTCAGATAATCCACATTCGTTAAGCCAAAGGCACTTGTATTTCTTTCTTCTGTTACTGATCCAATTCTTTATGTGGTAGTTGAAAGTAAAACAATTATAAGAATGAATGAAATCATGTGGAAAGGCAGTATCCTGCTGCAACAGGATGGCAACATGTAGGTGGAGAGACAATTCAAATACCTCAGGGAATGATATTAGATCAACATTTTCCTTTTAAATAAAGTAGAAGACCTCATTTTGAAGAATGATCCCTCCCTATGTTTAATCACAGATTACTGATCAAATGTTGCAAGTGGTTCACACACTTAAAAACCTGAAATGTTGAGTTTAATGAAATATTCTGTCAACAGATCACACATAACTGTATTAGTTAAATATTAGATTCAACTTAATGTCATTGCTTTCAACTAACCTAATACAGTTATGTGAAATTTGTTGACATAATACATTTAATTAAAGTCAACATTTCAGCGTATGCGAAATCTGCAAAGTGATTAGCAAATGTGGACCACCAACAGGCGTAATGTTTTCCAATGAAATAGGTAGTAGAAGCTAACAAAATGACAATACTCAAGTAAAGTGCCTGCATCTCACAATTGTGCAACAAATAAGTCCATGTACTCTGATGTCAATTTGCACCTTTGTCTATAATATAATAAATACTGGACCTACTCCCTCCTCTCATTTGCTTTTCCTTTGGGTATCATGTTTGCACGTTTTGACGTTTTTCCATCAGCTTCTCCTCCAAACACTTGATCAGAATCGGGTCCACTTTGGGGTCGAATTTGTTAGCAAACCAGTGTCCATAGTTCAGGAGCCAGCGCAGCTCCGCTGCTCCGTAGATGCAAACACTCCGCATGTGTGTCCCCGTGCAGGCGGGGTAAAGATTCCCTTCTAAATAGTTCCATTTGACTAGTCGTGTCTTACTCCTCAGATCTGTAACGTCAGCCTCTGATCGGGGAATGTGTCCTGGCACCCCGGGGACCCTGACCAGGGTGGCCCAGAAGTGTTCATCTGGAGAGTATGTGTCAGCTGACCAAGCCAGGAAGTCCTTTGCCACCTGGCTGCTGCTAATGTAGTTCACAAAATCCTGTGAGAGGACAAAATATGCACTCCCGATGAACATCTCGATACCGTGAGGAGGGACATCTTTGAGCGCTGTGGTTTTGACAGGAAGACGACGGTACTCATAAGGCACATTTTTCAGCTGGTGTTTGAAGCTGTAGCGCTGCTTCTTGAGCTCACTGGGCCGGCTGGACTCCAGCATGTTGCTGCCGTTCAGCTGCTTCAGCTCCATCACCAGCTCATAGTTGGACTTGAGAGGAAAGTCCTGGCCACACAGGTTGATAACATACTTCCACTTGACCTCTGACTTTAGCAGGTCAGAGAGGCAGTTTAGGTCAGCATTCAGCCTGCTGATGTGGGCATATTGCACAGACTCTAGTTTTGAGGCGATGAACACATTTGGAACACACCGAGCCAGGTTGGTAACGGCCTTTATGAACGCCGGGGAGGACTTCTGATCATAGTGGATGCAGTAGATGTTACTAGGTGCATAGATGGCATGGAGAATCCGCTCCACCATGGGTGCATTCTTGTGCACCACCAGGGAGTAAGCCAATGGGAAGCTGCGCTCTGCATTCGACACTGGAGCCTCATGGTATCCTCTTGTTCTGATAAACGTTTGGCAGTCGGAGGTCAAACTCACAGTGCTATCATCGTCCACGTCAACAATAACTTTACGCTTTATCTCCAGAGCTTTGCCTATCTCCACAGGGTCCAGCTCGTAGATGGCGGTGCAGTTGATGTCGTACCTTCTGGATAAGCTGACGGAGATTCCATAGGGCTCGATGTAGACGCTGTCCCTCACTGTCACTTTAATGTAGACCAGCTTGAGCAGACACACCGCCAGCAGAGACAGAGAAAACAGGAAGCACCTGTGTCTCAATCTATGTGTGTAGTAGGCACATCTTATTTTCATTCTGGGAACAAATGGATAAAAAAAGACATGAAAGGAAGCAGTTACTACAAGAACCTCAATTTGAGAAGTGATTTAAGTGGGCTAAATATTTTAACCAAGTCAAATAACTGTTAAGTTAACTTATCTTTACATTTGTATTTAGGTGTATGACAATTATTTGAGGTATCCTAAGTAAATTATTTGAAGTCAGTCTTGGGACATTACACTGTAACTTTAAGTGTTATGAACACATCAGGCATTTTGTATCTGGTGATTGTGTTCTGTAGGTAGGTCAATTGTTGTAGTAGCTGTTTGTGGTCTAAGAGAGCCTACCTTGCTCTCTAAGGTTGTCTCTGAGCGGCTCTCCTGCCATGCAACCTCCTCCTGCAGTTCCACATTAGAACCTTAACACAATGAAACACATGCATCTATTGAGTGTAAGGGGAAACACAGGAAAAGGACAATGGTGTGATCACACAACAACAAACTGACTGAATAAATTCAACACAAGTGTGCAGTGGTGGGAAGAAACTAAGTACATTTACTCAAGTACTGTACTTAAGTACCATTTTGGGGTACTTGTACTTTAGTTGAGCATTTCCATTTTATGTTACTTTATACTTCTACTCTACATTTAACATTTAAATAATGTAATATTACTCCAGTACATTTATTTTGACAAAATGCATCTCTACAAATTCAACTAGTGGACTACCTCTTTAAGTCACAAAAGTGTCAAATTACTCAAATATATTTTTACATCAGTTTCAGTTTCTCTACAACAGTAAAATGCTACTTGATACAACAATATCATCTAGAAATGTCACATATATAAATATAATTACTTTTTATACTTACTAAGTACATTTAGCTGATAATACTTGTGTACTTTTACTCAAGTTAGATTTTGAATGGAGGACTTTTGCTTGTTAAATACTGTTATTTGCAGTCATCCGAATGCATCATGAACAGTGACAACTGAAAACTTGTTAAACTCACTTGTTTTTTAGCTTTTGTTTTAGAAAATGCATTTTAGTTACTTCTGTAGGCTACTCACATTGCATCATCTGCTGTCCTATACAAACCTTTCCTGAAGCGTTTTCAATTCAGTTTCTTGATGCAAGCTCTTTAGTGCAGCCTTGTTAATAAATTATACTTTTAAAAAGTGATAAGGTCCAAATCAGACGTTTCAAAAAGTGGTGGGGTTAAGTCCTTAATGTGAATGACACCTATAGGAGCAGAGGTGAGATAATTACTCCTATATATATTGTACTTAAGTAAAGTACCAGTGTAGGAATACTCTTTTACAAGTAAGAGTCCTGCATTCAAAAGGTTACTAAAGTAAAAGTAAAAAAAGTATTAGCATCAAGATATACTTAAAGTACCAAAAGTAAAAGTAGTCATTGTGCAGATTGGTCCATTTCAGAATAATATGATATGTTTTATAATGATTGATCATTAAAGTGTTCTCAAAGCTGGTAAAGGTGCAGCTAGTTTGAAGGACTTTGTATACTGCAGGGTAGCTTGTGAATTTACTCCAGGTGGAACTAAAGTCTGATTTAACACTTGATTATATTTCACATCATTCATCCACATCTGTAAAGTAACTAAAGGTACAAAATACATGTAGTGGAGTAAAAGTAAAAACTTTAACTCTGAATTGTACAAGAGAAGAAGTAGCATACAATGGAAATGCTCAAGTAAAGTACAAGTATCTCAACATTGTACTTAACTACAGTACTTGGGTAAATGTAGTTAGTGTCTTCCCACCTCTGGTGAGGAGCACTTCCAGTCGGGAATCAGACTCCTTTTGGTTAAGTTAAGATTTTCTTCGTTACGCATCGGACGGCTGTCTTTCACTCTGTAAGGAATCACATGATGAGGCACTGTCCCACCGCAGTCTGTCCGGGAGCATCTATACACCTGGAAACGGCATCGACTGATGACCAGTTAACGATAGTCGAGGCAGCAGACTTACCAGCCAACACGCGTAAAGAGAGTGCCAGAGTCCCGTGTGCTATGTCCGGGGCTCCATCGCGTACTGGAGCGGCGGAGAGGAGCGGAGGAGTGGCGGGGGGAAAGTCCGCCCACCGCCCGGCCACGTGCAGCACATCACCAGCACCCGATACATTCAGCACCCACTCACCAATGATTAACCCAAGGCGCAGCTTCTCATATCTGTAACACACTTCCCCATCATCAGTGTGTCCATGTGTACGGTAAACAGTGCAGGGCCTGACACAGCACACCCACAGATCCATCAAATATTTATTGTTTTTGCTTATATGCAGTTGAACAGTTTACAATTTAAAATTAAAATACCAGAAGTACCTGAGCATCGTATAAATACACTTACAGAAAATGAGAAACACTGAAAGGGGTGTTTCTGCTACAGTGTGAAACCTGTAAATCAATCATTTTAAATATCATTGGAAGTAACATAGAGCCCACAATGGGTACAGGAAATGAGTCATAAAACAAGTAAAACTCAACAAGTGAACTTCTCAGAACTAATAATACTGGACAAAGTGTGGATAATTATTATAATTCCCCCCAGTCATCAGGGTCTTTCTCCAAGAGCTTCTCCCAGTAATAGTCCATTTGAGCACTTGGCAGCCATTCATCATCACCCACCAGATGGACGATCTTGATGTTCATTATCATTCTTCTCAGGTCGGCTGCCTCTGCAGAAACAGAAAAAGACATTTAAAACACAGTGACACAGTGCTGAGTGAAACTCCAGGTGGGAGATGTATGAGGCGGCTGATTCATTATTGACATAGAAAAAGCTACGCTTCAGCGGCTGCCTGCCTGCCCTCTTTACTTATAGGAGTGGCTGTGAATGAAATGTGACAGGCGGATGTATGTGGAAGTGAGGCTGTTAGGGTTAGGCAGCAGACAGGAACAACAGACCTGGGGTCAGCACCTCCTGGGGAGAAGCAGCGCTGCAGTGTTGAACATCGGGAGAAGCCTGCGCTGAGTGTCCTTCAGCCTCCATGTTCAATAAATAATAAGACAAAGGTTTGCCTCTGAGCATCACCTGGAAGCACAGTGGAAGGAGTTCATCACAGATCTATTTTAACACCATTGAAGCGTCAGATTATGAATGATGACTTATTAATGAGTGTCAAAGTCTGCTGGGTTGGATATGTGAAACCTGAGGGCAGATCCAATGTCTTTCAGCAGCAGCCATTAAACAGGCCTCTTTAATTTTCTCAATGAGATGGAGGATACAGAGGACTGTGTGTGTGTGCAGCTCTACAGCAAACACTCAATAATTTACAGCCTGATGCTGTGTCTGTCTCCACAGACCCCTACTGGCAGGAACCAGCAGACAAGTGAACCTTGTTCCACATAAACAGCTTAATCACCATGGATTGACTGTAACAAACGGAAATAGAAGCTAAATGAAATAAAAAGGCAGATTTTAATATCATTACATGCATGTAAGTACTGTGCTGTCATATTTTTTATTGATGCAACCTGTTTAAGGTATTTTTCCCTTAGTTATTCGTGTTGCCTTTTTCTTATTACTGGTTTCCATGATTAAATGATACGTCGTTTTATAATTGATTTCAATCAGTGATTTACCAAGTGTGTCAGTTACAAAAGCCCATATTTTCTTTAAAGGCAAATATTCAAATCATGCATATATGTATAATGTTTTAAATGAGTCATTTTTATTCAATTCAATTCAATTCAAAACCTTTATTTATCATCATCATCATCATTGATCTCTTTTTCAAGGGAGACCTGCATTTCTTTTCATTTTTATTAGCCTTAACATGAAGTAACATGAAGTAACCCAAAATGTTAAACAGTAAGAGTAGTAGTCATATTTCGTGAACCCTTTGAAGAGTACTGTCACACCGGTGTGATCATTCAATAATACATCATTTAAGCCCGGGGGAAAATGCTAACGCTACATTAGCTTCGGCGATCTTCTCTACTTCATGCAATCTGCACAAATGGTTGACATTAAACATTAAAAAGACCAGGCAGTTCAGAGAGAATCAAAGGAAGGCAGGCAGGCAGCTTTGCATGACTTTCTTCTGGACGTGTTTCATTGTGGTGATAGTGAGGGTAGTCAATCGTTGTGTTGACAAGACAGTAGTGACGGCCATCTTGGTGACGTGTGTTGTTGTGCAAGAGATGTAGTTCATTGAGCGTTTCACACAAACAAATGTGTTACTTCACAGTTTTACGACACATCTTTTTTTTTTTGACTTGCAAAATTATCTTTTAAATTGACAAACATCATATGTGTAATTCGTGGCACAATTCAAACGGGATCGAAAGATAATCTTTCTTTCTCCATTGACTTCAATACATATTTTACATGATACATATCATGGAGGTCCACCGGAAGGGGAGGGACTTCGCCACTCTATATAAAAGGCCTCAAATTGGAAGCACTGTCTGGGCTGTCTTTTTCACTCAATTCTGCAATAGATCTCACCTTTCACCAAGGCCGAGGTCGGTGATCTTGGGCTTAAAAAGGTTGGTGACCACTGCTCTAATGTTTCCCCCTTAGCCTTATTAGTAGAAGCGATTGACAGCTCTGAGATTAGTAGGTCATGGAAGGATGATATCCATTGCTTAATAATAAAGTATGTGGGGGTTTCCATCGTATTACAATTCTTTTTTTGGCTGCTGTTAGACCAGCAAAAAGCACCCTTTTCTGATGGTTCTGTAGGTCAAGAGAAGAATCGTCATTCAACAATACAATACTTGGGAGACAGGGTATGTGAACTCCAATAATCTCAGATACAATGTCAATAACTTGTTTCCAGAACGTTCTTACTGCAGTACATTCATAAACCGTGTGTACATATGTGCCAATAGTCTTTTGGTTACAGAGAAGGCATATGGGGCTTGGAATCATCCTTAATTGACAGCATTTTGGATTGCTTTTTTTCCAATACGTAGTAACAGGTTATGAAAAATTGGTATGTTACTATGCCAATCTACAGACCAATTGCACAATTTCTCTACATGTTTCCACACTTTCACAGCTTGGCCAATAATTGGTCCAAATGTTTGAATAAAGTCATATGGCGACATGGCAGAAAATAAGACATCACCAAGTTTAAGGGGAGAGACTATACTTCTTTCAATTTTAATCCAAGGTACATTGGTGCTTTCATCAATCCAGTTTTTCAAGGCTCGAAGCGTAAGGAATAATAATAAAGCACGAGATTGGGAACATTAAGGTCTCCACTGTTTTTGTCATATTGTAGAACTTTGTACTGTATCTGATTCTTGGGTATTGGTTTTTCCAAATATATTTTGAAATCCTATTCTGAAGTTTGTCCCAAAAACCGTCTGGTGGAGATAAAGGTAACATACTGTACTAGCTAAGAAATTGACTCTTGGTAGAATATTCATCTTTATGATTGAAATTCGTCCTGCTAAATAAATTGTTATATTAATCCACTTTTTTAGGTCATCTTTAATTGTTGTATACATTTTTTTGTAGTTCTTTGCTACTATTGTGTCTAATGAGGCATATATATCGATTCCCAAATACTTAAAAGTGTTGGACAATCTGCAATTCTGTATTTAGGTTTAGTTCAACCATGGCACTATTGAGGGGTAAAAGATATGATTTATTCAAATTGATCTTGTAACCAGATATTGAACTAAATTGGGTAAAGATATTTAACAGCTTAGGAAGCGTAGTTGGTACCTCGTCCAAGTACAGTAGTAGATCATCCGCATATAACGAAATGTTGTGGTCTGTCTCTTTTACAACTATCTGTTTTACTTCTTTGGATAGTCTTATTTTCTGTGCAAGCGGTTCTAGAGAAATTGCAAACAGAAGCGTGTGCCACGTAGAATTGGAAATCTAGGTGACCACTGATTGCCTGTCAGAACCATAGCAATTGGATTATTATATAGGATCTTCAACATAATCATACATTTTGCCCCAAAACCCATTCTTTGCATTGTATGCCACAAAAATGGCCATTCTAGCCTGTCAAAAGCTTTGTCAGCATCAACTGATAATACGGCGCAAGGGGATGTTATGTCTGCTGCAAAATGAATAACATACAGTAGTCTCCTGATATTATCTGATGAGAATCGGTTTTTCATAAAGCCTGTTTGGTCATAATGATCTAATGTTGGAAGGACTTTCTCCAATCGTCGAGCTATTACTTTGGCATAAAGTTTGATTTCTGAATTTATAAGTGATATTGGTCTAAAACTTGTGCATCAATTTGGGTCTTTCCCCTTTTTGTGTATGAGAGAAATTATAGCTGTATTGATATCCTTTTGGAAATGTCCTTCTTTGAGTGCTACATGAATCATTTCCAATAATATTGGTCCTAAATCAGGCCAAAATTGGGAATATAATTCCGGGAGGATACCATCTATACCAGGGGATTTGCCAAGGTTCATGTCTTCCAATGCTTCAGATAAGTATTATTTCACAATCTAAGCGATCAATATCCTCAGGGGATAGATGTGGTAAATTCAGATCCACAAAGAAATGTTCTAACTCGGCCTTTGATGTCTGTACTTGAGACGTATATAAATGTTTATAGAACTGTTCAAATTCATGATTAATATGGACTGGATCATAAAGGACAATGCCATCATTATTCGTAATTGAAGATATTTGGGCCAGCTGCTCGTTATTTCGGAGTTTACTTGCCAGCAGGGAGCTCGGTCTACTTCCATCTAGATATTCTGTGTTTCTTACCCTATGAATCAGAAATGTGGCTCTCTTGGTAAGTAGCGCATTGAGTTCAGCTTCAACTTTGCATACTGCTATTTCTTTATCTGAATTATAATGTTCCTGTAGTTCTCTAATCAGTGATGATAATGTACATTCTAGACCCACGATTGTCTTGAGCTCTTCCCTATTTTGGGCTGAGGAGTACGCTATGGCGTTGCCTCGAACATAACCTTTTACAGCGTTCCATAGATGCCTAACTTCTTTAACTGAATTATAATTAACCTCTTCTACACCGCACCCCCGATACCGGGGGGAAAAACGCGTCATCTGCAGGAAACAGCGTCTGAGGGAATCTTAATATTCAATAAACTATGAATGTTT